TGGTCAAAGGATGGGCTTCACTTGTCTCTTTGACGAGTTGTAATATGGTACTACGAATGGCGAGACTCACCGACGATGCCGGCGAAACGTCTGGTAATGTACCACGTCCACGGTCCTACTCTGGAAATGATGATGCATACAATGGACTCTGGAAAAGGTGCGTTCCTCTAAGTTTTCTCCCAATATGACCGAGTTGTGAAAACAAGGTCAAACAACTTCTAAATTCACGTTAGTTTGACAGTTATTCTAAGCTCATAGCCCAAAACAGACTTACGAGATTATGCATTCCCATTCATTCTTATCTTTGGTTTATTAGACCTCACTTTCACGCCCACAGGTTTACTTCTCAACAATCACATACAGGCTGACACAATCTCGGTCATGCTTTTCCTTTGGTCATTAAACCTTGATGACCCGGGGCTGACATTAGGCTTTTATTTATGGCCAATATTGTCTACAGATGTTAACATAAATCATATCAACGCACACACACACACAAACAGAAGTTCGAGTATAAGAAGACAATTGTATATCCATTTATATCTGATTATGTTTTCGCTATGAGTATATAATCATGTCATTCTGATTGACTTAATGCTAGCCTATGACTTTTGCACGAATAGGTCCAAGCTCTGATGACTTGTTCGTCTCGTATGACCAACGATTCTATTTTATTGTGTCGAAACGGATAAATCAAATAGGCAGATCCTTCCATGTCGAATTATAGCCTAAATCGCTTAACCCAAAGAGGTTGGCCACGGAGACAAGTCCTAACATATGTGAGCTCTGAAATCAGGACCTAGACGCTATTCTTGGTTGGACCACAGTATATGTGCTACAAATGGCTTGCTGCAGATCATGAGAAATATAATTAAACTGACCTCGTTTTCGCTACTTTATCGTGTTGTCAGCGGGACCTAGTTGGACGCAACATATCCGAATTCCTCTGCAATAGCAGTTATCATTATTCCCAGCGCTGGACCGTAGACTTGTCACATTACCAGACTTTTCGCCTGCATCGTCAGTCTTCCCATTATTAGTACCAAGCTACAACTAGACAAAGAGGCAGTCCTTTAGACTGGCTCTAAAATATCTCCTTAATATTTAAAGACATGATCGGGATCTGCTGCATATCAGGTAGCAGTTTAGAAAATTACATATGAATACCGATCTAAATTCATCTCCTGTCTGAAAATGATCCATTGACACAGCATATGATCATCACATACGAGATATTTGAAGTAATTACTAATCATTAGAAGATTTTTTTTGCTTTTTATATTTTGCATCATACAAAATTCTATACACTAAGGTTCGTACTATGCCACTGCACCTTCCGATCTTAACCTTAATTTAACTAAATTTAACATTTTTGTCCCTCAATTCTTTTTCGCCCTCTATTTCTTCTGATATTTCCTATTCTTTATTTTCTAACCGTTTCAGTAAATATATTTATCATCTTGGCCTCAAACGACGGCCAATTCTTGGTGCTTCTTCAGCCCGATTCGCCTAATTTATGTACTGATTCCTCGATATACGCTAGCTCTCCCGCTGCTCCCTTTGTTCCCGCTGCAGCTAGCAGCAGTCGGCCAGGCTCATTTGCTTGTGGCGCACCAACGCCATTTAGTCCTGCCTCATCAATACCTACCTGCACCTCATCTAGACCAACAGATAGCCAGTCAATCGCAAATTTTGCTTCAGCGGTACCCACAACCTCTGAATCACGAAAAACTTCGGCCATTGGTTCGAATAAGATAATACCAACTTCGGTTTCTAGTGTCGAGGGCTCTTCATCATCAGTCTTAACGACGACCGCTATTGAAATTGTTGCCCGTTTACGCTTGGAAGAAAAAGGAGAAGCAGCCAGTTACCTAATGTAAAGCAAAGTTTTACTCGATTCGAATGGCTGCTACTAAATTGTTTCATAGCTAAATACTTCTAATGGAAATGCCACTTAATTATGTATTAAACCTCATAAATTTTGCAATTTACTCTAGACTTTTTTGCTTAAAATCCTAAGTGTCTTGGCCAGATCTGGCTCTGGCTAATTTTTTTAGCTTTGGTACACATAAAACGGTTCAAATTTAACCAGTCTTCTATAGCTATTGGCTCTCATTATCGATAAAAGCTTTAGTTAGAATTAGATACATTTTAACTATGTATATATATATATATTTTTTTAAAGAATGGATTTAAAAATTATTCTTGCTGGACTATTAAGCTAAAAAATTATAGACTCATTTTATGTCGCTAAAGGGTTTGCCAGCAACCTTTATGGCACCTATTTACAATGAACATCTAAATTTTTGCTAGCGAGCATAGAAATTGTATAGTTCATAATAATCGTCTTTTAATTCTCGCCTTAGCTCAAAAGCTTTTGCTTTACTATTTTATCTATCAATATCACTCTGTCTGGTTATAATGGCATACGTTTTTAGACCGGTTATGGTAACATGGTAATATCTATTTATTTTCTATTATCAAAGCTGGACTATATTTTTTTATTCTTAAGTAGATTCGTTTTTAGAACCATATTTACCTTAGCTCGCTTAAATGATGAAAGGTTTGACAGTTTACTCCAATTAAACGAATATAAGACTTTACAATTCCACTGAATGTCACTCATGTGTCTTCTAAAAGGCCTCTATATATGCCGGACTGCTGTTTTATCTTGCTTGAATTCCTTTAATACTCCAAACCATTCTCAAAATTTGGTTTAGAGCTTCAATATGTAACGTTATATTTCCACCACACACTCCCGGGTACCAGTGCTTCATGGGACAGATGGGATTTTCAAGACAAATACGATCTCTCAATTCACATTTATAGTGCATATAATTGTGACGAGGCAATCTTGTATCCTGACTTGTTAGAACCATGAATTTGAATAGTATTCAATGGCAAACAAG